CTGCAGTTGATCGGGACGATACAAGTTCCCGGGTAATTCCCGGGAACGGTGGGTTGCCGGTTCCCGGGAACTGGACCTTCCCCGGAGCGGATAGTTGGAGACCCGAGAGCCCGTGACGAGCTCTCTCGGGGAATCGACGCAGGTCGAGGTTCCTCCGGGGCGAACTTCCGAGGACCCTTGGCCAACTTTCTCGGGAAAAGGTGCAGGCACGTCTTCTCGGGGAGCGGCATCCAACTCATCGGGAAAACTAGAAGGCACTATGCCACAACCGCCCCATGCTGGAGTCCCGCACGTCGTGTCAGACTTGCCCAGACGTCTGGATCGCAGCATAACCACCTTCCTTGCAATCTTCGGGGCCGGCCTTACTGGAGTGGTCAGGGACTGCCGCATTTTCCGCAATCTTGTTCGCTCCTCCGGGGACCGGGGTTCTCTCTGGTTTCTGCGTCCTTTCGGGGAAAAGGTCTCTCGGGGGCTGACATCGTACTATCTCTCTTTTCTGGGAATCGCCCCTGGGTCGTTCTCCATCACACCGCCATCATTCGAAAATCATCATGGGAGGACTGTCCTTGCATGGCGTGTCTATCGCATGGTCCCAGCCGCAACTGCACTTTCTCGGTGCACGTTTCGATGGGAATCTTGTTCGTCATTTCGAATTTGGCGCGCAACTACACACACCAAGTTCTTCACAAGTCGTGAACGATGACTAGCCCTACATCGCCTGGTGCGGGCGAGGCGCCTCCGCCGTCTACTCCAACTCACGCGCCGGCGGGTGTTCCTTCTGGCTCGGCTGCCGATGCTGTACAGGGGAGTTTGGATCATGCTCACGCATTGGTCGCTCTCGTGAACCTTCCTCTGGCTGCTCTGAGCGCTGAGGATCGGGCGTTGCGCGAGGCTCTCCTGGTACCTACTTACTCCCTCACGGGGGGCATCCGTGGGTCGTTCATTGACGTAGTTCGGCCGGAACGCACTGCTCCCGAATTGGCTGGTTCGCTGGGTTTCCGCGACACTGGGGTTTCTCTCCCTCTGGGTGGTACGGCTACTCCCGATCTGGCAGCCCTCGCGGGTCCTGCGCAGCTTCCTCCGTCATTCGTCTATCTGCCAGCGGCCACCGAGGACATCCGAATTCTCGCGGCCGGCAATCCCTCGGGCCTTCGATTCCGAGACGTGGAGGGGTTAATTCACGTGGGTGTTCGCGTCCCCGAGCTCACTGTCGCGCAGCTCGAAGCATTTCAAAATTGGTCCCGGATGACGATCGCACGCCCACTGACATCCTCGTCCCGGAACACCTCTCCGGGGTCTCTACGTCCGTTGCTCCCAGCCAGCGGGCTCGGGCTTCCGAGGTCCAGGCTGGCCCTCTCCTTGACGTCTTCGGGTCCAGCAGATTTGGCTACCGGGTGCTGAACACCCTCCATGCGCTTCGGCTCGCTCTGGACAGGTTGCGGCTCCTGGAGACGGCCCGCGACTTGGCGGCCAATGCGGATCAGAGAAAGCGCTGAAAACTGAGCGCGGGAAAAACAAGACCCTCCAAGCGGTCAGAACTGAGGTATCCCAGGAGCTGGTGTCGGCGAAGACCCGGCTCGAGGAGGTTCAAGCTCAGCTCGCTTCCCGACCTGCCGCACCTCCCGGGGATTCGATCTCTAAGGCAGATCACGACGCCGAGATTCGTCGTCTATCGAGACGGATTCGGAAACTTCGTGTCTCCAACTAGGATTTGCGTACTGAGCGTCGGCGTTTCAGGACTTTGCTCGACCCAGACAACCTCTTTCGCTTCTTCAACAACCAAGGGAGCCCGGGAATCATGACGGGGGCGTCGGAGTTCCAGGAACAACTTTCGGCGTATTGCCTCTCCGAACAGCCACCCTACTCGGTGTTCTTAATGGTGAGCAGGAACAACGCTCCCCCACCCCCTTTTCAGCCCGCGCAAGTAGAGAGTGACAGCGAAGGTTCCGACCCTGCTTCAGACGCGGAACCTGGCACTGAGGGTGGTACTGGCGGGGGAAGTGAATCCTCCGGGGTTGATCCAGCTGATCCTAACCCCGCGTCCGCGCCTAGTACTCCTCCCAAGAAGCCGAGTACCGGTCACTCAGACCAGGCTAAGAAAGCCATGGTTCCTGGGGAAGGTTCCCTCCCGGCGTCGGATTCCAAGGAACCCAAATCTACGCCCCCGCCGAGCTCCCAGGGCAACTCTCTCTTACGACCTGTTCCCGGGGTATCTGAGACTAACCTCTTGGGTCACTTATTCGACGCCGACTACGACATGAGAGGGGGCGACACTGAAGCGGAGAGGAACCCCCTGGAGGAGAAGCAAGAGGAGGACCACTCCATGGGCGAGGAGCCCGGGGCGAAAGACCTTGCCGGATCCGAGGACGTTGAGCTCGAGGGTGTCTCGGGGTCAGGTCCCCGGATGTCTGCGGACAGGCTGCGCCAGGTCAGGCCTACGGTCTACGACCCCCAGACTGACACGAAGGGAGGGTTTTACCGACCCATAGACTCCGATGCTGACCCGGTTCGGCCCGTGGAGGAATTGGCCAAAGTCTTGACCCGCTCCAAGGTCGAGGACGTGCGCATGGATGTGCTGGAGTATTGGCAGATGGATACAGACCGCTGCACCTTGACTGAAGCGGAGGATGCCATCCAGGGCCGTACCACCGAGGGCATCATCGTTCACGTCAGTCTCCGGAAAGACATACTAGTGGAGTTCCTGCGCCGGGCGCTAATTCTCTCTTTCTTGGATGAAGTACCCTGGTTTCAGCACGTACCCGAGGAGTTCTTTGACCGGGCTTTGGCTGAGGCCGAGGACGACGACTGGGAGCTTGGGATAGGCGAGGGCGTGAACCCTTGGCCTTCGGTGCCACTCCAGCCTCGGGATAGCCCCAGTCCTTCGGAGCACGAGGAAGACGCTTCCGGGGACGAGCAGGATGGCCATGGGCCTGATGACGAGACTTCCCTTGGTAAGCGTTCTCGACCCAAGTCGAAGACTCCGGCGTGGAAACGCCCCAAGCGAGTTGCTCCCCCGGCAAGTCGAACTCCTCGCGCACTCCCCGGGAGAGGACTGCGCCAGCACTTTCTGACGTTTCCTCGGACGACGAAAACACTTCTCCTCGCCGGGTCAAGACCTTGCCGTGGCTCCCGGTGATGGGTTACGATGGGTTACGAGAGGTATCATACGGATACCCGACTGGCCAAGTCCTGGGTCATTTACAACACGCGCGTGCGCCGGACCAGCACTCGCCTCAAGCACCAAAACCGGGGTTTTCCAGACTACGAGGTTGAACGATGAGGTTCATTCCGTGGCGGAACGCGTCCCAGTCGCAGAGTATCGGGACATTATCGAGACCCAGGCTCCCTGGGACGACATGTTCGATGAGCGTGTCAGGGTCCTGTTGTTTGTCCGGGGTACGTTGACTCCGGAGTTCGCGCGTATTGCCAAGCGCTATGTCCTGTTCATGTGGGTCTGGCGCCGGGAAGAGTGGGAGCGCACTCACGGGATCGTGCTGAACCGAAATGTCGAAACACATTCTCCTCTTCATCAAGATCGCGCCGGGCGCCAACGGAAGTATGAGAGAGCCCTCAAGGACGTCCAGGCGGACGTGGCCACGCTTCCTCCTCCCGAACGTAAACGATTCCGGACAGAGGCAGCGTTTTTGGTCACTCTCGGAAACCGTGCGTGTGGATCCCCATGGACCCGAGGGCGAACAAGACCCTTCGTGTCCAACTCGACTTGCTGGACCAGCGCGAGCCAGCTCGCCTCTACTGGGGGTCGTCTTGTCCGGAGGAACGCATCGCGGAGAGTGTGTCTTCGGCCGTCTGGGTCACCCGCGTGACTGTTCACACTAATCGCCTTCCTGTTCCCGAGCCTGAGGAGTATGTTATGCCCCGCCGTCGTCGTTAATTCCCAGGAGGTGGGCCCACCAAGATCTTTTCCAGTTCCGGAGCCTCCGTATGCCTCTTTAATATATCTGTGCGTTTGCCTCGTCTGTCTTGTTGTCTCTGAGCCTTCTTGTCTTTTCGATTGGTAACATGTATATGTCATGCAAACATGCAATCACTTGTGTCCCAGAGAGTGTTCTCATCTTGGGACACACGGCTTCCGGGGGACACTCCAGAGCCCGCTGTGGTAGCTAGCTCCGGGTCCACGCCCCAGGGAACATGCACTTCACTCATGTCCTGGGGAGTATTCTCACCCGGAAACATGAGGCTTCTGGGGGGACACTCAGGAGCCTACTGCTGTAGACTCTGGGTCCACGCCCCAGGGCTCTACCGGACTTCTTCGCCCGGGAGCTCGTCTCCAGACTGCATGGCCTGGAAACGCACGCGGGCTCGTTCTCCTTGGTCGAACTCATAGAGGCGCCTCCCGCAATTGAGGTGTCTCTGGGGGACCCAGTCCGGCACTTCGTACCCTTTCCATTTCACTTGGTATTCTTTGACGCGCCGACTAGTGCGGGTCCGGGTAACCCATCGCACATCGAGTATTGCCTCCACTTTGTACTCCCCAGAACCTTCGTCGGGCTCCCAGCTATCTTCACGGAGCAATGCGGCGTCGAAGTCGTCCTCCTCCGGGATATTCATGGCCTCCGAGGGCCGCTCCGGGTATTTAGTTCGGGGCTTTAGCCGGCTGACATGGACCCAGGGGTAAAATCGGTACTCGGTCCCTTCGACCTGGAGGCGGTATCGGTAGTCGCTACCTTTTTCCAGGATCCGGAATGGACCGTGCCAAAGATGAGCCAGCTTCTTGGTGAGCCCGGGGCAAACTCGCGCTAGGTAGAGCCAAACTGAATCCCCGACCTCGAAGCCTTCCTTGAGCCGGTCCGTGAGCTGTTTCCATTTCCGGTTATGGTCCTCGGCTCGGCGGCTTTTGGCTTTTGCTTGGAGGTCCCGGGCCCAGGCCCGGGCGTACTCGACTTGGCGTTGGATCTTCGTGCGCCATTACTGGGCATCTCGAAGTTGGACGTCCCGGGGAAAATCCCCCATCATGGCTTCAACGGTGCCCTGGGCGTCCCAATCATGCACTAAGTAGAATGGTGTATCGAGTCGGGCAAAGGCGAAGGAGGTGTTCAGTGCCCACATGAGCTTTTCGGCTAACTCGTCCCAGTCACTCTGGTCTCCCGTCTGGACGTACGCCTTGACACTTCGGATCACTGTCTGCACTGACCTCTCCTGCTGTCCATTAGCCTGGGGGCGGTAGGCCAGGGTTGCACGCTGTCAGCTCCCGAGCATCTCCCGGAAGTGCTTGAACACCCGACCCATGAACCGTGGGTCTCGGTCGTGGCGGATCATTTTGCTGGCCCCGAACCTCCGGAACGCGCACTCTTCGTAAGCTTCGGCCACATCTTGGGCTTCCGTGTTCACCATGGCTTTGCACATGACGAACCTCGAGAACGCGCACTGGAACAAGAGTAGTGCTGTGTTTCCCCGGATTGCCTGAGGCAACGGTATGACGAAATCCATAGAGACGACTTGGAACGGCCGCGTAGCCAGCAAATTGCCGGGTGATGAGCCTGGGTTCCGGGGTAGCCCCTTAGCCGTGACACAATCCACGCACTCTTTGACGTATCGCTCCGTGTCCTTGAACATCCCAATCCAGTAGAATTCTTTGCGTAACCTCTCATAAGTCCGGATGATACCCTGGTGAGCGCCTTGGAGGTCTGCGTGACAATGGTGTAGAATATCTTCTTGGAGGTCTTGGGGGACTACCAGGTGGAGACGGTCGGCGGCGTCCCGGGGGCGTTCCGAAGTGTTTCGACTCACGTAGAACAACGCGTCCCGGAAGTCCAGTACAAACTGGTCTGCTACCTTGGCCAGGTGCGTTGTCTGCCTCAGAGACAATTGCTCTGTTTCGTTTCGGAGGAAACTCACCAGGGGTGCTAGTCCGGGGTCGTGCGCCTGGTGGGAACAGATCCTCCTCAATCGTTCCCTACGGACGTCCTCGGGATCTTCCTCGGAGTCTTGGGAGTCGGGGCCCTGGGGGCTGGCTGCCGGCCCCTCTTCTGCGCCTTCGGTTCCCAGCTCGTAAGCTCCGGGGTCGACAGATTCTAAGTGGTCGGTTCTGGATTCTGTGGCCAATTCTTCCGCGATATTGCTCCGCCCGGACCTCGAGCGCGTCGTCGCGAATGCTTCACCCACCGAGGAGCACCTAGGTATGCTCCGGGCTGTGGCTATGAAAGCGCACTCTACCAGCGACTGTTCTCTGGGACTTGGGTCCTTCATCGGTTTTTCGTGGATCCGGTTCAGGCTCTGGAGCAACTTCCGTTCTCCGGGGACCGTGACTTCTAATGATGACTGCTCTTGGATGACCCGTTTGGAAATGTAGTCGGCGGCGG